TTCTGAAGACGGTACCAAAGCGCCGATCCGAAAATGAGGCCCACTTAGCAGCGGGAACACCATTGTCACACGCAAAAACATCGGATTGAGAACAACATCGACAGTCAGAAACAATGTATATACATCCTGCTACGCGTAAGGGCGGACCATCTTCCGCACAGAGTCAAAGAAGAGCGGAGAAAAGTTGTCATAGCGTGCAACTGTAAGAAGAGGAGGAGAGGAAAGAGGCGGGAAGAGGAGAGGAGGAGGAGGAGGAGGAGGAAGAGGGGGAGGCGAAAAAAAGAAAATGGGGAGGAGGGGGAGGGGGAAGGGGAAAATACACACCTCCTCCTCCTCCTCCTTCTCCTTCTCCTCCTCCTCCTCCTCCTCGCGTCCTCCTCATCCTCCTCCTCCTCCTCCGCCTCCTCCTCCTCCTCCTCCTCCTCCTCCTCCTCCTCCTCCTCCTCCGTACCTCTTCCCGATTGGTAGCCCCTCCTCGTTGCACCACCCAACGTGTCAGTAGGGCGGGCTGGGCATCTCGCCTGGGACCTCCTCGCAGCGTATGATCTGGAAGCTCGAACTGTTCAACTGCGTCGAGAATCGGAGGCGGGTGGTGATCAAGATTTGACTATCGCCCTGGAGCGCCCGCATTCGCCCGAACCGCTCCTCACAGCCACAACATTGCACGGCGGATCGATTCCGAACTATGGCTCTCGCCATAGCGCTGGTCTCACTCGTCTGAACGACTTCCAACACAGCTGCAAGGATGGAGGACGGGTGATGCTTGCAATGTGGTTATCGCCTTTGCGCCGCCCACGTGCGCGATCACCAAAGCAACAGCAAAACGATGGAACGATTACTCGGCGCGGAGATTCCCACACGTGCATATCACTGTCCTGGCACGTCCGTGGGTACATGCCCATGGGCGTCTGTGTGCGAGAGCGCGTCGCTCGCTCGAGACCTCCCCGCAGTCTGGGCGCGGATGAGTCGCAAGTATGAGTGCGAGTGAGTCTGAGTGTGAGCGAATCTGAACGCGAGCGAACCTGAATGTGAGTGGGTCTGGGTGTGAGTAAGTCCGAGTGTGAGCACGTCTGAGTGTTTGTCTGAGCGTGAATGGGTCTGAGACTGAGTGGGTCTGAGTGAGAGTGAGGCCTGAGTTTGAGCGAACATCGACACGATCGGTCTGAGCGTGAGTGAGTCTGAGTGTGAGTCTGAGTGTGAGTGCGTCTGAATACGCGTGAACCTGAGTGTCAATCTGACACTGAGCGAGTCTGAGTATGAGTGAGCCTGCAGGCGGGTGATTCTAAGTGCGAGTGCGTCTGTGTGTGTGTGTGCGGAAAGAAGAGGAGGGGAGGAGGAGGAGGGGTGAGGCGGAGGCGTCCACATAAGACGCCCGCTGGCGGCTCCCCCCTTGGGGTGTTGAAACAAGCGGCTCGCTCGAGACATCCTCTCAACCTGCCTGATCGCACATCTTCATTCCCCTCCCTCCTCCTGCTCCGTCATCATCCACCCTCCCAGTCCGTCTTCCTCCTCCTCCACTCCTGCTCCTCCTCCTCCTCCTCCTCCTCCTCCTCCTCCTCCTCCGTCCATCCTCTTCCTTGCTACTCCTCCTCCTCCTCCTCCCTCCTCCTCCTCCATCCTCCTCCTCCTCCTCCTCTCCTCCACCTCCTCCTCCCTCCTCCTCCTCCTCCTCCTCCTCCCTCCTCCTCCTCCTTTCGTCCACCTCCACCTTCCTCCCCCCTCCTCCCGCCTCCTCACTCCTCCTCCTCCTCCCCTCTCCTCCTTCCTCCTCCTCCCTCCTCCTCCTCCTCCTCCTCTCTCCTCCTACCTCCCCTCCTCCTACCTCCTCCCATCCTCCTCCCCTCCTCTACCTCCCTCTCTCCTCCTCCTCCCTCCACCTCCTCCTCCTCCGTCCTCCTCCTCCCCTCCTCCTCCTCCTCCTCCTCCTCCTCCACCTCCTCCTCCTCCTCCTCCTCCTCCTCCTCCTCCTCCTCCTCCCTCCTCCTCCTCCTCCTCCTCCCCTCCTCCTCCTTCCTCCTCCGCCTCCTCCTCCTCTCACTCCTCCTCCTCCTCCTCCTCTCCTCCTCTCCTCCTCACTCCTCACTCTCACACCTCAAATCCTCACTCCTCCATCCTCCTCTCCTCCCCCCCATCCCCCCTCAACCCGCGCCCTGGAAAGGCATTGGCCAACGGCACCCTGGCCAACGGCACCCTCGGCACGACGCCGAGTCGCGCTCCCCGCCCTCCGCCTCGCCGCCCGCCCTGGCGACCCCCAGAGGGGGTGCGGTTGGCAGAGGGGTGCGGCTCGCAGCCCGCACCCGTCGGGGGGGGCGGGGGCGGGCGGGCGGGCGGGCGCGGGCCTCGACGAGGCTGTCCTGCGCCGCGCCCGCCCCGAGGCCCGCCGAGGGCAGCGCGGTGCCCCCCGCAGGCCCCCGCGACGCAGATCGCAGGCCGCACGCCAGCGTAGCCACACCCGTTGCAGTCACCGACCGCGTCTACCCGACGGCGTGGTGCCACGGACCTCTGTGAAAGCTGGTCATCAAAAATCATCCCGCGCTGGACTAGCTCAGGTTTGCTTCGCACCAGCCCCACGACCTCGTAGGAGGGGGAGGGGGAGGAGGAGGAGGAGGAGGAGGAGGAGGAGGAGGAGGAGGAGGAGGAGGAGGAGGAGGTCCCAGCCCGCTCAGATCCTGGCACCAACTCCCAGGGCGGAGTTCGAGGGAGAGTGTGGAGGCTCGGGAGGGAGGAGGCGATGATATAAGTTGACGCTGGTTGTGCAAGGGTACAGGGCGGAGATCACGGGAAGGAGATCAGGGGGAAAGCATCCAAGCTAGCACGATGACAGCGGCGCGTCCACCTGGAGCATGGTCAGCGTCTCTATGAGCCTGCTCTTCGACCACTGGAAGGTATTCAGTCCTTCGGAAGGGGGCGTGCACACCAGCGTTCGTCTGCCCCCCCCCTCGTCCAGCATCACACGCAATTGCCCGACGAAGGGTTCCAGGGCAGCACCAGCTCACCCCGCAGCGGGCTGCCAGCAGGGAGGGAGCAGAGGGAAGGAGGAGGAGACGGAGCGGAAGCAGACTGGGAGGACGCCGCCTGGTGCAGGCGAGGTGTGCACACGGGCTCCCCCCTCCTGCGATGAGCAGTCGTGTGCAGTGTCTCTCCCATCCCATCCTGCCAATGGGAGGCCTACCACATGGGGTCCGAGTAGGTGGGGTCGGAGGATCGCGCCGCATCGCCGATACATCGGCAAAGTATCGGCGACGCGTCGGAGATGCATCGGCGCCGTCGGCGTGGAGAACATCGCGCTCCACGTCGAGCCGCATCGGCGATGCGGCGCGATCCTCCAACCCCATCTACTCGGATCCCATGCGGGAGGCCCAGATGCCAACACATCTGATCTTCCCCAGCACTGCAACGGGGAAGGTCCAGAGCCCAGGGCGAACAGCGCCTCCTGCAGCTGCTCCACGGTGAAGCGCGACCTGACTCTCCGCCGCACCTCCCTTCAGGAGAAAAGACCTGCGAAACAAGGCACGTCGCACCAGTAGCCACGTGTTCCCATCGGTCGGAAGATGTGGGTAGGAAGGCGCTGAAAGTAAAGGCGCCTGAAGTAGACTGGCATCTGGGGATCGAGAAGCACTCCTCTCAGCGCGACATCCCCACTGTCCTTCATCACTCGCCCGCTCGTTCTCATTCACTCTCTCTCTCTCTCTCTCTCTTTTGCTCGCCGACCGACTCCATCACTCACTTGCAGTCCCTCGCTCGCTCAGGCGATCGGTGAGCTGGTCAAAGTCATCTCCTGGTGGAAGGGGGTCCGAGGCGGGCAGGGGCGACGAGCATCGAGCCTGAGTCATCGGCGCGTCCGTCGACCGGAGAGCCGCCCCCGCTCGACCCGGCCTGTCGGAAGCATCATGCTCCCTGGCGCAAGACCTGCGCAGGGGAGCTCCACATCTCTACTCGGGAGCGGCCAAGAGGGGGGTGTCCAAGAGGGGGGGGTGCAAATCATGACCGGCGGCATGTGCGCGGCCCAGCGGGGGGGCCAGGGACGTAATGAAATAAGAAGAGGCGCCACAAAATCTGGGAAAATATTATGGCCCACGCCATGATATCCACCCCCCCCTAGTCATCACCCCCCTCTCTTCCGCCCCCGATCTACCGGTGACCCCTCGAGAGCCGAGCTCTGACCAGCTCGAGCGCGCGCAACACTCGAGCGGCGGAGCGGGGCAGCGGCACAAACAAGCCCGCGCGCGGAGGGAGCGCGCGTCGGAACGTCACTGCGGGCCCCAAGAATTTACACCACCTCCACGTCGATTCCTCCTCCCTCCTCCACCCTCATCTTCCTCTCCTCTGTCCTGGGAGAGGAGGGCGATGAGGGAGATGGTGGTGGTGTATACCTTTGGGCCCCGCAGTCACGCGGGAAGTCCAGCGGAGCCCCCCAGGGCGCCCCAGGAGGCCGACGGGGCGATCGGAGCGGGCCGCATACGTCCCCCTCTCGGCGCCCCCCTTCCCAGACCCCCGAGGCTGTGATTTTTTCACAAAGTCGACCACCAAGAAGGTCTGGAGCCTTTCCCTGGGACCGGTTTTTCACCCGGAGTCGTGTTTTGACGGCCCCGAGGCCCGGGAAGGGCCCCCGGAGGCCGAAAGTAGCGAAAAACGTCCCGTCACGATTTTTGCACAGCACGAGGGGGTCTGGCTTCGGCTCGCCCGACCCAGGAGCTAGCCGTGGCCGCACCCAGGGGCTGCCCCCCCAGGTCACGGGGCGCCGATGGCAGGCCTGCTCCGGTCCCGACCGGGCCCCTCCTGGGCCCAGGACTGGCGTTGGGTCGGGCGTGTCCTCCTGCAGGCGGGTTTCGGTTTGATCTGCAGGGCGAGAGCGAGCCTCTTCCGCTAACGGCTCCGCGGGACGCGCATAGCTTTAATTGGCAGAGAAAGGGAGAAAGGGCGGGAGCAGGCGGGGACAAAAAAAACAAAACAAAACAACAGCAAACAAAAAAACGCGGTCAAAAAGAGCAGAGAAGTCGTTCCCAGACTATCTTGTTGGACTACAGGCGGCCCGTATCAGCAGGTCGGCCCTGCCAGATCGAGGGTGCCCTCGTGTCCGGTGCCTTGCGGCCCATGCCTCCTGCATTCATGTGGCAACGCGGCCCCCAGAAGGGCCTCGTGTCTAGAGGAGGAGCATGCCCGACTTGAGACTGGTGGTGCGTGAGGCCTTCCTCGCCCGGCCGGGAGGCCTCGTCCGGCCAGGGTCCACGCCGTTGCACGGCTGCCGCTCTCCAGCCAGGACCTCTCTGCCGGCGGGCATGCCAGGCAGCCGCCTGGAGCGCGTCCGGGCCAAGGCGGCGCCACGGGTGCCACCGTGGGGCCACACAGCCCGGGGCACACCCCGGGCCAGGAACGAGGGGGAGACGCGGGGAGAAAGCCCAGCCGGAGGAGGAGGAGGAGGAGGAGGAGGAGGAGGAGGAGGAGGAGGAGGAGGAGGAGGAGGAGGAGGAGGAGGAGGAGGAGGGGTGGGCGCAGCTTCCACGGAAGCCCTGACAGAAGTGAGTGAAACTCACGACTGCCAGGGCCGCCAGAAGTTCCTCGCTCGGTGAGTCCCTCGCCGCCGCGAGCGCGGCGCAGCCGGACGTGGCGACGAGGGGGGCCCCGAACAAGCCCAGACAGGCATCCGTCGCGACCCTGGCCTACCGCAAGGGCAGGCCAGGGGAACGGACGCCACCCCCGCGGGGACGGACGGGCAACCAGACGGCCCCCAGAGGCCCCCAGGGAGGGGACACGGGTTCGCGCTCCTGCGCGAGCCCCAGTCCGAGGCGCCACCCCCGCAAAACACGCCGCGGGGGCCGCCGACCAAAATTTCGAGGCGGATCCAGCCAGAGCCACTAGAGCGCCGACGGCCCGCCTCGGGCAGCACTCATGACGACCAGCTTTCGAGGTAGTGCTCGACGTTCTCGAAGTCGGGCTGGCAGGCGATGCGCTCGCACTGCTCCGGAGGGTAGGTGGCCTTGCCGGGCGCGAGGAGGGCCGCGAGGCACGCCGCGCGCACCTCCGTCTCCTCCGCCGGGTAGGGCAGGCCCTCGACGAACGGCACCCGCATCTTCTCCTGGACGCGCACCGTGCCACCGCGAGCGGAGCCGACCACCTCGGAGTCGGTCGTGCACTCCCCGATGCCACCGACGACGCCGCCCGACAGGGAGCCAGCCGAAGTGCACCCCTCCTCGTCCTTCTTGAAGTACTTGTGGGACCTCCCACCACGGCGCCTGCCAGGCGCGAGTGGAGGTCCCTCCGGAACCTTGTCCTCCGAGCTGCCTGTGTGCCCAGCCGTGCTACATCCCACCGAGTGGGCGCACTCGCGAGGGCATGGCGCCGCGCCAGGAGGCCCCGGCTTCCCCTCCTGCATGCTCTGCAGCTTGTCGTCGCCTGCGAACGAGCCATCGGCGACCGCCTGCGAGCCGACCATACCAACACCAGCCAGCTGCGCGATCTCCACCATGAGCTGCTGCACGAGGGGGTGGGACTTGCTGTTGCGGAGCTTGCTGAGCTTGCCCAACCGCGTGGCGGCGGCGCTGCCGCGCGCGCCGCGGCTCCGCAACCACCCCTACGCGTCCGAGACGCTGAGCTCCCCCGCATGCCCCGAGACGGCCTTGACCCTCGCCAGCACGATGTCCATGTCGCCGACGGGATCCTGGTCGTCGTTGTCCGCGCCGCCGCACGGCCTGCCGCCCGCCGCCGCCCCTTGGGCCGCCCCGCGTGCCGCCGCCGCCACCAGCGCCGCCGTAGTTTTCGGCCCCATGGATGGGCCTGCCGCCGCCAAGAAGGCCCCAAACGCCGCCTGGGCGTAGGGCAGGCCCTCCAGGCACCGGAGCCGCGCGCCCACGTCGTCGTCGCCGCAGGCCGCCATCGGTGATCTCACCGCTCGGTGAGGCGCCGCGATCAAAGCGTGGGATGGGGCCCACCGCCTTGAGCCAAAAATGGCTACGGAGGAGGAGGAGGAGGAGGAGGAGGAGGGGGGAGGGAAGGAGGGAGGGAGGGAGGGAGGGAGGCAGAGAAGCAGGGAGGCAGGGAGGAGGAGGAGGAGGAGGATGAGGAGAAGAGGAGGATAGAGGAGGCTCCTGCATATCATCCTCCTCATCCTCCTCATCCTTCTCATCCTCCTACTCCTCCTTCTCCTCCTCCTCCTTCTCTTTCTCCCCTGTCGCACCCCCAGACGTGTCGGTTGGGCGGGCTAGGCGTTACGCTTAAGACTGCCTCACTATTTATGATTTTAAAGCTTGAAAATTGCCACAGTTTCGACGACGGAGGGCCTCATCCTCCGCCCTCCTCATCCCACCTCGAGGGAGGCAGATGTTCCCCAATCAGAGCTTGCCTCTGTAGGGGTCCTAGCGGATTCATATCGTTAGGTTAGCTGCGCCGCCAATTTTGGCGGCCCGCCCGGGTGACCGGGTGCCCGGGTGCCCGGGTGCCCGGGAGCTGCGTCGCCGATTTCGGCGGCCCGCCCGGGTGCCCGGGTGCCTGGGTGCCCGGGTGACCCATAGCCCTCTCGCCGTATAGCCCTGTAGCCCTATAGCCCTATGGCCCTGTAGCCCTATAGCTCTATAGCCCTTTAGCCCTATAGCCCTATGGCCCAATGGCCCTGTAGCCCTGTAACCCTATAGCCCAATGGCCCAATAACCCTACAGCCCTGTAGCCCTATAGCCCTAAGCCCTATAGCCCTATAGCCCTCTAGCCCTCTAGCCGTCCAGCCCTCTAGCCCTCTAGACCTCTAGCCCTATAGCACTATATATAAATATATATATATATATATTATATAATATATGTATATATATATATATATATATATAGCCCTTTAGCCCTATAGCCCTATGGCCCTATGGCCTTATAGCCCAATAGCCCAAAAGCCCTACAGCCCTATAGCCCTGTAGCCCTACAGCCCTAGCCCTATAGCCCAACAGCCCAATAGCCCTATAGCCCTATAGCCCAACAGCCCAATAGCCCTATAGCCCTATAGCCCCATAGCCCCATAGCCCTGTAGCCCCACAGCATCAAAAAGATTATGGTTGGGGCTCCTCTCCGGTATCATCAAATTCCTCCTCTTCCTCCTCCTCCTCATCCTTCGGACCTCTTCCCGATTGGTGACCCCTCCTCGTCTGACCACCAGACGTGTCGGTGGGGAGGTCCAGACGATTCGCCTGAGACCTCCTCCCCGATCCTGACACCAAAGCTTTCAAAGTAGCCAACTCTTACAGGGATGGAGCACAGGTCGTTTTAGAGATTTGGCTAGCCCAGCAGCGCCACACACATTCGTCCTATAAGTTTCCAGCAATTACACGGATGGGGGGCGGTCCCTCTTCAAAATGAAAATGTTGTTTGAGGCCTCATGACCGTAAGCCTAAAACTGTGCAATACCTACTTAGCTGGAGGGCGGCTTCTTTTCAGATCGGGTTTATGACCAGACGGTAAAAAATGAAGACGAGTTGAACGGATTCAGGGCAACTCTTTTTCAAAGCGGGGCTCTCGCTGCACGCTTCTTTGGACTATAGGCTGACACCGCGTCGCTGTCACTATTACACAGAAGTAGGGATGGCAACGAATTGTTCAAAACAGGACTATCGCCTGAATTGCAGGAGCGCAGGGGCGCTCGTCTTTCATGGGGGGCACTTGCCGCCGCAGTGAAAAGGCTCTCCTGCAGATGAATGTATGAGGAGGAAACTCGGGACGGGTGGGCGTCTGAAAACATCGCTGACTCATCTTGGGTCCACTCAAGTACTCCCTCCCTACTCATACTCCTTCTCCTTTTCCTAGAACCTTGCCCTCCTCCTCCTCCACCAATCCCTGGCACTGGAACTACCCTCGACCCTTTTGGGGGAACCATAGATGTCGATACCGCCACTCCCCGGACCTCTCTGAGGAGCGTTTCAACAAGTTCTCCGGGGCGAATCCAGCCGTGGCCACGAGAAAACGGTAGCGGCATCGGTATATGCTCTGCCTATGACCTGGCTGCCTCGACCCTCGATCCTTGATTCCCCTGACTGCCTGGTGCAGACGACGGGCGCCTTCGGCACCCGTAAGGGAGAGAGGAAGGGGAGGGCAGCCCGGAGACATCTCGCCGCCCTCGCCGCCGCGGGGACGCCGAGGTCGGGGCCCTGGCAGCGCCGCTGGGCCCCCCTCATCCTGCATCATCCATCACTCAAAGTTCCTCCTCCCGCTCCTGCTCATCACCATTACCATCAGCATCATCATCACCATCATCATCATCATCAGCAGCAGCAGCAGCATCAGCATCAGCATCAGCCTCGGCCCCAACCTCAGCATCACCACCACCATCAACAACAACGAAAATAACAAGAAGAAGAACAACAACAAGAAGAAGAAGAACAACAACAGCAGCTACAACAACACTAACAACAGCAACAACAACAACAACAACATCAACATCAGCATCATCCAAATCGTTCTCAACCACAATGGTCATCACCACCAGCAGCAGCGGAATCAACATCGTCCTGATCATCGTCTTCGCCGTCCGCATCATAAATCGTCATCATAATCATCATCATCATCATCATCATCATCATCATCATCATCATCATCATCAGCATCAGCATCAGCATCATCATCAGCATCAGCATCATCATCATCATCCTCATCTTCTTCTTATTCACTAACATCATCATCATCAGCAGCAGCATCAGCCTTATCAGCATCACCACCAACACCATCACCATCATCATCATCACATCCACTATCGTCATCATCATCGTCGTCGTCATCATCATCATCATCAGAAGCATCAGCATCATCATCAGTATCATCATCGTCATCATCACCATCAGCCATCAGCATCACCATCATCATCATCATCATCATCATCATCGCAATCATAATCATAATCATAATCATAAGCATCAGCAGCATCATCATTACCATCATCATCACCATCGTCATGATCAGCAGAATTAGCATGATCATCATCTTCATCGTCCTGATCAGTATCATCATCAGCAGCAGCATCATCATCAGCATCATCATCAGTAGCATCATCACCATCAGCATCACCATCGTCATCATCATCGTCATCGGTATCGTCATCGTCATAAGCATCATCGTCATCATCATATTCACCGTCATCAGCATCAGCGTCATCATCATCGTCATCATCACCGGCATCGTCATCATCATCGTCATCAGCATCACCATCATCATCATCATCATCCGCATCATCATCCGCATCATCAAATGTATCCTAGTCATCATCATTACCATTACCATCATCAGTATCATCATGATCATCACAGTCGTCATAGCACGAATCACAAGACCAATAGTAATAAGGATCGTCAGCATCGCTCCTCGCTCAGCGCTCCTCGCTCCTCGTTCCTCCTCCTCGTCCTCCTCCTCATCCTCTTCGTCATCATCATCAGCACCATCAGCATCATCATCGTAATCATCAATATCTCCATCCTCGCCCTCATCCGCGTCTTCCTCGTCCTCGTCATCCCCTCCTCATTCTTCCCCGTCCTCAATTAACCGCACCATTCCTCCTCGTTCTATTATTTCTCCTCCTCCTCATTATTTTCGTCGTCACCATTATCGTCAGCACGACTGCAACCATCGTCGCCGTCGCCATCATCAACAACAACAGAAGTATGATCCTCCTCCTCCTCCTCCTCCTCCTCCTCCTCCTCTTACTCCACCTCCTCCTCCTCCCCGTCGTCGTCATGAGCATCATCATCCTCAGCATCATCATTATCATCATCATCATCATCATCATCATCATCAGCATCATCATCATCATCATCATCATCATCATCATCATCATCATCATCATGATCATCAGCAGCACCGTCATCATCATCGTCATCGTCTTCTCTATCAGCATCATCATCAGCATCATCACACCGATCATCATCATCAGCATCATCAGCATCATCATTGACAGCATAATCATCATCCTGAGTATGCTCGACACCACCACCACCACCACCACAACCATCACCACCAGCATTAGCATCAACATCGTCGCCATCACCATGATCCACAGCAGCATCAGCATCATCATCCTCGCCACCACTAACATCACGATCACAACCACCATAAACATCACCATCATTGTCATCATCATGATTATCATCGCCACCATCATCAACCTCATTAACATCATCATCACCATCATCATCGTCATCATCATCGACAAAATCATCCACATCCGCATCAGCATCGGCATTAGCAGCATCATCAGCATCAGCATTGCCATAATCAGCAACGACATCATCATCCGCAGCATCATCAACGACCACCGCCTTAGTAACAGCACATCATCATCGCCAACGGCGGCAGCTCCAGCATTGTCACCAGCAGCAGCAGCATCATCAGCATCAGCATCAACAACATCATCGCCGTCATCAGAATGATAAACAGCACGGAATTATAGTTGCCTGAATAACAATAGTAAAAGGATTACAAATACGAATACCAACAATAACAGCAACAACAACAACAAAAGATTTAGTAATACAATCAAACTTTATAATACTAGTACGAATGCTAGTACGCATACCGTTAATACGAATGTCAATGATGAAAAATATCACTAGTCCTGATAATGTGCACCATCATCAGCACCACCATCATCATCGTCGTCATATGTATCATCACCATCAGCATCAGCATCAGCACCATCAACAGCACCATCGCCTTCATCATCAGCAAAGTCATCATCAGCATCAGCATCAGCATCATCAACATCAGCAGCATCGTCACGGTCATCGTGATGCTCATCATCGTGATAATGCCAAGCATCATGATGAGCATCATCATCAGCATCAGCATCAGCATCAGCATCAGCACGAACAGCATCATCCTCATCAGCATCATCAGCAGCAGCATCAGGATCAGCATCAGCCTCACCATCAGCAGCATCAGCGTCCGTATCAGCATCAACGTCACCATCAGCAGCATCATCAGCAGCACCACCAGTATCGCCATCAGCATGATACTCGCCCCAGCAGCATCATCATCAGCAGCGACAGCCTCATCATGATCATCATCAGCAGCAGCATCATCCGCAGTATCATCACCATCCTCAGAATCAGCATCCTCATCTTCATCATCGTCAGTATCATCATCTTCATGATCATCGTCATCTACATCGTCATCATCATCAGCATCATCAGCATCATCATCATCGTCGGCGTCGGTGTCGGCGTCGTGATCATCATTATGGCCGCATCCCCCTCCCCCCCAACTCTCCCTCCCGTTACAAAAGCGCGCGGGAGGAGGAGAGGAGGAGTAGACGGAGGAGGAAACATGCGGAGTGCGTAAGGATAAAAAGTCAGGTGTACAGAGAGGGGGGGAGGCGGAGGAGGAGGAGGAGGAGGAGGAGGAGAAGGAGGAGGAGGAGGAGGAGGAGTACGCGGGCGAGGAAGAAGAGGAGGAGAAGGAGAGGGGAGGAGGAAGAGGAGAAGGAGGAGGAGGAGGAGGAGGAGGAGGAGCAGGGAGAGGAAGAAGAAGAAAAAGAAGAAGAAGAAGAAGAAGAAGAAGAAGGGGCAGGGGGGGATGGAGAAGAGGACGAGGACGAGGCCAGGAAAAGGAGCGGGAGGATAGAGGAGGAGGAGGAGGAGGAGCAGGGAGAGGAGTGGTAGGAGGGGGAGAAGACGGGGAAAAAGGGAGGGGGGAAGGAGGAGCGGCACCCGCAGGAGGGACGATCGAGGATCGCGGCGTCGCGCGAAGGGACGAAGGATGAGGAAAAAGAGAAGGAGGAGGAGGAGCGAATAGCAGGAGAAGACCAGGAAGGCGGACAGCAGGAATTCAGCACTGAAACAACGCTGGGGAGAATCCACACGATTTTTTGCTCATCGTTCGCCGAGACTGAAACGACCAGGAGGAGGGTCGAGGATCGGAGACTGACGAGGGGCCTCGTAGCCACGCGCTGCGGACCAACACGGTGCTCGGAACGCGCCCCGTTCGGAAATCGACTGCCACGACGACGACGGGGGAAGGGGAGTGAGGACGGGAGCAGGAGGAGGGACGAAGAGCAGCTGGAGCACTTGCGCAACACCGGGTGCAGGGAAAAAGAAGGATGAAGGAGGGTGAGGCGCCAGCCAGCCGACGGATGTAAGTCACGCCTGGCCGACGCCTGCGCTGTAACCACCGCAGCCTCGCGCTCCCAGCCAGCAGCTAGGGCCGTCTTAGATGGGCCTGCATAGCTGGGAAAGATACCTTGCGCGATGTGGGCCAAGTGCTCGTAACCTTTCTTGGAAGGTCTGGAACAGCCAGTACCATCATTTTTTCAGCTGGACGCAACCCAATAAAGCAAGCCTGAACTCGATGAGTTTGTCCCAAGCGGCGCGCGGCAAAGCACACGTGAAACGCACGAGGGAGCGGGAGGAGGAAGAGAGAGAAAGCAGACAGAAGCCACAGGATAATTATCACATATCAACAGCAGCAGTGCGGGGACCGAGGGCGTGTAACTTGAGCCCAGGGATACTACACAGCACCACTTCGATTATGTGATGATGCCAGCTGATGATAACAAATAGCACTGCCTGCCCCCACAGAAGAGCAGCGCGTGATAGAAGCCTCACCCAGGTTGCCATCAAGCAAGAAGGGAAACGAAGGGAGAGGAGGCGGACCAGGAGACGAGGCCAGGATGAAATGGCCAATGAATTGTGTGGGAACATCACATATGGCCCAACCGACATTTTTTCAGCAGTCCGTAGGGAGAGCACAGCACAAAACTCGGCGGCGAGCGAGGGGGGGAAGCGACAAGCTAGGTGCGCTCGCGTCATATCTGACGTCCTACCCCTCCCTCCCATCCCTTACCATGGCGTAGATCTCCTCTCTATTCGCACAGTCGGATGTCGTAGCATGGCATAGCATTACATGGCGTAGCATGGTGTTGAAGATCAACGCGTGGCACCGAATGTGTAATCACTGACGGAGGTTATTCCGGGGGCCATTTCACTTTTCTCGTACCCTGCGTAAAAGAACCATACGCGGAGGGGCGCCCGACATCTTCTGGACGCCATCAGGGGAGAAAGGCGAGTAGCATTCATATCGTGCAATTGTGAGGGGGAAGGCCCTCTCAGAAGGCGGCGGGGCTTCTCGGGAGCGCCCGAGGCCAGGAGACTTCCAGACCTTCAGAGAAGGCCTTCTCCTTGTCCTTTCCCCCGGGCTCGCCGCCGAAGAACGAGCTCAAGGGCGGGCAACCCCTGTGCGAGGAGGAGGAGCAGGAGGGAGGAGGAGAAGGAGGAGGAGGAGAAGGAACAGAAGGAACAGGAGGAACAGGAGGAGGAGGAGGAACAGAAGGAACAGGAGGAGGAGGAGGGGCAGCAAGACCGCGGGGCGTCGAGGCAAGGCGTGAGGAAGCGGGGCGAGGAGCGCACTCCTGGTGCGATACAACATCAGATCTCCTGGCAAAGCGGCTGCGACGAGGCCGCAAGGAGACGCCAGTGACGGTTCAGGATGGGAGGATGGGCCTGGCTAGGGAGCAGTGGATATGTGTAGATCTCGTCGCCCCGGTGTTCCCCAACCTCCTCCCTCCCTCTCGTTTCCCCTCGATGCCTCCGTCCCCTCACCTCCCTGACTGCCTCCCTCATCTGGCGAGTCTCCAGGCGGGCGGACGTCCTTTCTGGCGGGCCTTCTTGGACGACGGCTCCTTGTCCTCAAAGCCGACTTCGTCCAGAATCATCTGCACATCCTCCGACTGGACGAAAACCACCACCACCACCACCACCACCATCATCATCATCATCATCATCATCATCATCATCACCATCATCATCGTCATCATCATCATCATCACCATCATCATCGTCATCACCATCATCATCATCATCATCATCATCAGCATCAGCAGCAGCAGCATAATCATCATCACCAACATCATTATCATCCTCATCATCGGTCATCGTTGTGGTCGTGGTCGTGGTCGTCGTCAACAGCATGATCATGACCAGAATCATCAGCATCATCGGTATCATCATCAGTATCATCATCAGTATCATCATCATCATCATCATCATCATCAGCATCAGCATCAGCATCATCATCATCATCATAATCATCATCATCATCATCATCATCAGCATCATCACCATCAGCATCAACATCATCATCATCATCATCATCATCATCATCATCACCCGCAGCAGCAGCAGCAGCATCAACATCATCATGGCCATCATCATCAGAATTGCCAGCATCATCATCATCAGCATCATCATCATCAGCAGCATCAGCAGCAGCATCGCCAACATCAACATCAACAGCATAATCACCAGCATCATCACAATCACCGTCTCCGTCGTCAGCGTCGCTATCATCTTCAATGACACAACAATTACCACCTTCGAACATCACAACCATCAGCTGACCATCAGCAGCATCAACAGTATAGTTTATTTTCGTGTCGTCATCATAACCATCATCAGCATCGGCATCAGCATTACCACAATCATCATCATAGCCAGCAACAGCATCATCATCAGCAGCATCATCGTCCTCATCATCATCATCAACAACATCACCATCATCATCACCAACATAATCAGCATCCTCATCATCATCGTCATCATCAGCATAATCATCCAAGTCATCATCATCGGCAACAGCACAAGCATCACCACAACCAGCGTCAGCAGCATCGTCATCATGATCAGCATCATCAACATCGTCGTCATCATCATCGGCATCATGATCATCGTCGTCGTCAGCGTCCGTGTCATCACCAACGGCACAATCATCGTCATCATCATCATCGCCACCACCACCACCATCATCATCATCATCATCATCATCATCAGTATCATCATCACCGTCGTCGTCGTCGTCGTTGTCACCATCAGTAGCATCGCCATATCATCCGAAACACCATCGACATCAGTGCGGTCAACATGATCATCGTCATTCGCACCATGGTCATCATCAGTAACATCAGCATCATCATCATAAGCGGCAGCATCATCATGATCCTGGTCATCGTCGTCAATATCATCAGCAGCAGCATCATCATCATCATTGTCATCATCATCATCATCATTATCATCATCATCAGCAGCAGCATCATGATCAGCAGCAGCAGCAGCAGCAGAAGCAGCATCGTCGTTGTCGTCGTCAGCAGCAGCAGTATGTTCTTCATCCCCCATCCTAGCTCGTCTCGTCCCCCCGCATCCCCAGGGGGGTGCCAAGCTACAACGCTGCTTGCTGCAATGCTGTCGTGTTGTCATCGCGTTGTACTTCAGCTGGGTCCCTCGAACTCCTGGCCGCGTTGGGCTGCCCCCGCATTCCCATGGGGATGGCACCGCGCGGCCAGGAGGGCCCATGATGCCTCTAAGAGGAACCCAGGAAGCTCCGAACGGGGCTGTAGAAGATCAAGACAACCCACGTGAGCCCCAGGACACCCCATCTGGTCCACGGCCGTCAAAGGAGCCTCAAGGCGGCCCCCAGACTGCACGCGAGGGTTGCAAGAGGGCCCCCAGACAGACAATGATCCAGGGCGGACCAGGCAGCCCTGACATGGCCAAAGAGGGCCCCACGTCAGGCCAAAAGGGCCCCGAAAGGCTTGCAGGCGGCCCCAAAGTGGCCCCCACGATACCCCGAAAAAGCTCCAAGATGGCTCACCCCCGGGAGCCAAAGGAGCTATTCCTCCTCCCCCCTCCCCATCCTCCTCCTCCGCCCCCTCATCCTCCTCCACGTCCTCCCAAGAACACCCAAGAAGCACCAGGATGGATCATCCTGGGGAGCACTCCTCCTCCTCCTCCTTCCTCCTCCTCCTCCTCCTCCTCCTCCTCCTCCTCCTCCTCCTCCTCCTCCTCCTCGGTCCTCCTCCTCCTCCTCCTCCTCCTCCTCCTCCTCCTCCTCCTCCTCCTCCTCCTCCTCCTCCTCCTCATCCGCCTCCTCCTCCGCGAACCGTCTTCTCCTACAACCACCACCGCGAACCGCCCCCGAGAAGGCCAGGAGCGTGATGCGATCAAAGGCCCGCCAATTACCAACAAGACAAAAAATACCTTGCGAATCTTCTCCACCTGCCCCCGCGTAACGCAAAAACTGTTCCCGACACGTATTCAGCGTCACCTTGGACAAGGTCTCAAGGGTGTAGGAATGCCCCGGCTGCCTCAAAGATCAGCACCCCTAAATACACAGGAACCCGAGTAAAAGAGAAAGCACGAAGCGCCCGACCAAGCCGTGCAAAAGGTTTCGGCGTTACCCCGAGGCAGTATATGTGACCCCGTATGTGACACCCAGCAGCAATCATCATCAGCAGCAGCATCATAACTGTCATCATCATCAACAACAATAAGGCATCAACGCCTATGTGTGCCCCTCCCCACCCACGACGGGGGGAGCAGTAGCCAGCAGCCAGCATCCAGCACTCATACGAACAACTACCAACAAAATCCATTGGGACTCATACATGGGTCAACTCGGCCCTGCCTTCCCCAAACGATCGCGCGCTGGCGAAGCAACGCCTCTGGTTGCCTCCTCGAATGGAAACCTGGTAGGGATGGATGGAGCCCTAATAGCATCCTAATAGGGATGGATGGAACTCTAGGGGATCCTGTTAGGGGTGGATGGAGCTGTAATGAATCCTGTTGAGGATGAATGGAACTGGAATTGGATCCTGTTAAAGATGGAGGGAGTTCTAATAGGATCCGGTTAGAGATGGATGGAAATATACTAAGATCCTGTTCAGGATGGGTGGGGTTTTAATGGGATCCTGTTACGATTGGACGGAGCTCGAATAAGATCCTGTTAGGGATGGACGGAGCCCCAATAGGATCCTGTTACGGATGGATGGGAATATCATAAGAATCCTGTTAGGGATGCATGGAGCTCTCATGGGATCCTGTCAGGGATGGATGGAGCTCTAAAAGGGTCCTGTTTGGGATGGGTGGAGTTTTAACAGGGTCCCCTCAGGGATGGATGGAGCTCTGATAAGATTCTGAGGGATCGATGGAGCTATAGCATGAACCTGTTAGGGATGGATGGAGCTCTCAGTGGATCCTGTTAGGGATGGATGGAGCTCTGAGAGGATCCTGTTAGGGGTGGATGGAGCTCTCATAGGATCCTGTTAAGGATGAATGGAGTTCTAACAGGATCCTGTTAGGGATGGATGGAGCCTCAATGAAAATGGAAGGGGCTCTCATAGGATCCAGTTAGGGATGGATGGAGCTCTACTAGGATCTTGTTCGGGATGAATTCAGTACTAATAAGATCCTGTTAGGGATGGATGGAGCTTTAATAGGACCCTGTTAGGGATGGATGGAGCTCTCAGTGGATCCTGTTAGGGATGGATGGAGCTCGAATAGGACCCTGTTAGGGATGAATGGAAGAAGCTCGAATTGAATCCTGTTAGGGATGGATGGAGCTCTAATAAGATCCTGTTACGGATGGATGGATATCTAAAAAGATCCTGTTAGGGATGGATGCAGCTTTCATGGGATCCTGTTAAAGATGGATGGAGTTTTCATAGGATCCTGCTAGGGATGGATGGTGCTCGAATAACATCATGTTGGTGATGGATGGAGATCTACTAGGATCCTGTTAGGGATGGATGCAGCTCTACAAGATCCTCTTGGGGATGGATGGAACTTTTGTCAAATCGATACGAATCTATGAGAATTAATGGAACCAATACGAATCAATACGAATGGGAGAAGGGATCAATAGGAAGCAATCAGAACCAGTAAAATTGGATTCAAATGGAATCAATAGGAATCAATTAGAACCAATGAGAATCAATTAGAATCAGTACAAATCAATGAGAATAAATAAGAATCACTTAGAACCAATAATAGTCAATTAGAATCAATAGGAATCAATAAGAATAAATTAGCACGAAATGTGAGGGCTCACGAAATTCGGGAGCGGCAAAGAGGGGGGTGTCCAAAAGGGGGTGTGCAAATCATGACCAGCGGCATGTGCGCGGCACAGCGGGGGGGCCAGGGACGTAATGAAATAAAAAGAGGCGCCATGAGATCTGGGGAAATATCATGGCCCACGCCATGATATCCACCCCGCCCTAATCATCACCCTTCTTTTTGCCGCCCCCGAGAAACGTGTGAGGGTGCTCCGAAATGGGCCCGAGGCATCCAAAATGAATCCGATGCCTCCGGATGGGGCCACGAAACGTGTGAGGGGTGCCCCCAAATGAGCCCGAGGCGTCCCGTGGAGACCCATCGTGGGACAACGAAACATGTGAAGGGTGCTCCGAAATGGGCCGGGAGCGTCCCGTGGAGACCCCTCGTGGAACCACGAAACTTGTGAGGGTGATCCGAAGTGGGTCCGAGGCGTCCCGCGGATACACTCCACAAGGGCAGTGGACCGTGCGAGGGGCCACGGAACGTGCGAGGGGTGCTCCGACATGAGCGCGAGGCCAGACCCTCGAACGGCAGCGAAACGTTTGAGGGGTGCTCCAAAATGGCCCCGAGGCATCCGAAATGACTCGCGTTGCCTTCGGTGGGGACACCTCGTGGGGCCACGAAACGCGTGAAAGGTGCACAGAAATGAGCCCGAGGCGTCCCGTGGAGACCCCTCGTGGGGCCACGAAACGTGAGAGGGGTACCCCGAAATTGGCCCGAGGCATCCCGTGGAGACCCCTCGTGGGGCCACGAAACGTGAGGAGTGTCCCGAAATTGGCCCGTTGGCGTGGGCGTGGGCGTGGGCTTGCGCGTGGGCGTGGGCGTGGGCGTAGGCGTGGGCGTGGATGTGGGTGCGGGCGTGGGCGTGGGCATGGGCGTGGGCGTGGGCGTGGGCGTGGGCGTGGGCGTGGGCGTGGGCGTCGGTGAGGGTGTGGGTGCTGGCCTGCTGCCCCCCACCCCTGGGCGTGAGCGTGGGCGTCGGCGTCGGTGTGGGTGTGGGTGCTGGCCTGCTGGCCTGCGGCCCCCCCCCTCCGGGGACGGGGCACACATAGGCGTGGATGTCAACAACAACAACAACAACAATACTAAGTTTAAGACTGTTCGCCCGTATATATGCTCGAGTGTCCAATAACGCGTATTTCCCAAACCCTCGATACCCGCCCTCTT